CAGCGCAGCAAACTCATTTTTGGCAGGAACAACGCTGGGTTGTGTACTTTTGCAAGTGCAATAACAGAAACATGAACAGCTGCTTGTATGAAGATAGTGGAAATCTTCCAAGATGGATAATGTAAATCAAACATAGATCTTTTATTCGCCTCTAAGTCAAAGCTGATTTAAAAGAACAGTAATGCTTAAGCACATGGTGATCTTATGTCAAAGAGAACATTTACAAAGTTTTTCTCACTGTTGAAGTTGAAAGTAGCATTCTAGGTGTCAGTAGATTGATCGAATAATCTATCTATCTGTCTGTCTAATAAGGCTATTCTGTTTATACATTAGCGTAAATAGGCATTTGCTTGGATCTGATGGGGCACCATGCAGACCCATATGACAGTAAGAAGATCAGAATGCCTCCCTAAACTTCTCTGCACCATTCACTATGAGGTAGTTTGCAGTCTGCATCTTTGGTGAGTGCAGATCATTACTGTTCACTTGTGGTGGATCATCAGCATGGAAGGAGTATTTACTGTGATCTGACCTTTCTATAGACTTTCACTACAAATCAAAGGTGTCAGGATACACTAATATGCCCAACACGCAGAACTTAAGTAACAAATAAAGAAAATCCTAAGACTTATTACCGGGCCTTAGAATGGTCGGATTTAACATATAAAAAGAAAAACACAAGACAGGCTGAGGTCAACAATACAGATATAGCGTAAACTGTATGTAAGCCAAAGATCAAGGAAGATAGAAGTCAGAATAGTCAGGAGCCAAAGGCCAAGGGATATAGAGATTGGATTAGTCTGTAAGAAAGACAAGTTTAAAATACACAAGAAACAATACCAGAAACGCGCTCTTGGATAACCAGAATGAAAACCACAACAGGGCACAGAGAAATGGACAAAAACGGTTTAAATAGCCTAAGGTGCTCCTTGATTGGCAGCAGGGAAGCATATGACAGTAAAAGTGTGTGTGTGACGTCACATACACGTTCCAAATGGTTAGGCACTAGAAGGGTTAATTATGAACCTTAAAAGATTGTAACTTGCAGCGATCAGCGTCTCTAATGTTTACAGAACCGGCCGCTGTGTAAGGGAAGTCGGGGGGGGGGGGGCATCAAAGGAGGAGGTGCATAATCAGTGGCATTCCCATTACCACGTGGGAATGCCGCTGCAACATGATGCACCTGCCGTGTCCCAGTCCATTCTCAGGCAGGAGTGGACCCGGTGGGCACCTTGACATAAGGTGAGTATTTGTCAGCATTCCCCTTGCGATGTGCTTATGTCGCCACAACGATACGTGCCTGCCGGGACCCATACCGCTCTCTGGCAGGAGTGGACCCAGCGGGCAGCGTGACAAAAGGCATGCAAGACAATTTCTTGATTAATAGACAATACAGTGAGTAGTTTTGGAAGGAATTCAAGAACTAGTTGAAGATTTGCTGTCACTACAATAAATTGCATAAATGGAGCAACATTTTCTCTGTTTTTTTACTACATATTGGTCATGAGATGTCCTATCAAATTATGATGAAGATTACTACGCTGGTAATTGAGCTAGCCAATAGCTCATCGTCTATATATTAAGGACAACTGGTTGTCATTAAAAAGTTTCTCTAACCACAGGAATCCACTTTAGACTATCACTAGAAGAGCTACCAATCATATTTTTGGACTTTTTATTTATTGTTGGGATCTTTAAGAGTAGCAATCTGGAAGATGCCCAGCGGCCATATAGGATTTCCATGAGCACAGGGAAATGATGAGGGAAATAAAATAACACCTCAGGAATGGCCTCTTTACTGCCCCAAGGTAAATTATCTTGTTTTTATTACCTTCACACACATTTATACACCAGAACAGTGTGACTCACACAGCCTGCATAAAAAAAATGGTTTCATTGTCAATCACATGTTAACTTGCTTTATATGTTTTATTTCCTGCTCTGTAAAGTAAACTTTAAGAAACAGGAGGCTCCTGTAGGCTCTAGCAGGCTATTAACAAAGCAGTAGATACGAAATTCTTAATTAAACATACTTTAGTTAAACAAACTTTAGAGTGAAGAAATCCCTCTTTATGCTTAGAGACCACCCCCTGGCTCGTTAAACTTCAAAGAATGCCTCAATTGAACCCTCTACCTGTGCGGCCGGCGTTCGTAATACCGAACGCCACGTGGCTGAGAAAACAGCGGCCATCTTTTTTTATGCGAACAAAGGCAGCGGGACTTGGTCGTTGAGTGTCTGGAACTAAAAATCGGACATTTGACTTCACGAACACCAGTCTCAACAAGCCAAAGCTGGATCTTTATTTCCCGAACAGCTAGAAGAGCGCTGTTCGGTACTTTTGTTCATTCGAATGAGGGGAACAATCGCTGCTAAGAACCAGGGGAAACCATTCGTGGAATTATTCGGTTTTTGCCACCTAACAAAATAGACCGTCAAAACTACCCAAACCTATGGAACTATTTTGGGCAGCCACCTCGCGGTTAGCCGGTCACAAAAGACTTCCATATTTTTTGAGAACCCTTGAACCAATCTGGGTGAAATTTTAATATGTTGGTCACCCAGATCGGGGCTACCAGGGGACATATTGTTTGTGGGGATACCATATGCCTAAAGGGGTGTTCTGAATATTGGGGGAAATTGTAATTTTTCTGCCTGGAGATAATCAAGTTATTACTTTATCAGACTTGATTATCTTCAGGACTTGGGGAGGAAATTGTATGTTTGTGCTGGGAGTGTTTTACGTTTCTCCTGTAAATGATTGGTTGTACTGTGTCCCTCCCTGTGGGATGTCCCCTTGCATGGGGACTTGCATAAAAGCCAGTGTGTGGTCATTAACCCCTTAAGGACACATGACATGTGTGACATGTCATGATTCCCTTTTATTCCAGAAGTCTGGTCCTTAAGGGGTTAAAAGCAGTTCTGTTGCACCCTTCTTCTAGACTTCGGCTGATGTTTGGGAAATCGTATGCTTTATTAAGGGAACCATCTTGTAAATCTATTGTATTCGTATGGATTTCGTTTATTTCATCTACCGACCGGAGAGCTATAATCACTGATGCTCTGGCAGTTCGGGAGGAAACTACCGAATGAGGATTGGATATACTAGGTTTCCTTACAAGGAAGTATTATGTAATTCACATGCAGGGAGATAAATCACTTTGTTTATACAAACCTGGTTTTAACACCTAAATGGCAGAGAATTGAGCATTGAGTCAATGCATCGCTATGGGGAAAGTTCAGCATCTCTATGCAGAGCATGGAGACACTAAATGTCAGTGCTGCATAGTGCGGAAGCACCTCTAGTGGATGTCTGAGGAGTTACCACCTAGGGAGCAATGTAAACATGCCTTTCTCAGAAAACTGCAGGGACTGACCATACTCACCAGAACAACTAGAATACGCTGCAGTTGTTCTGGTGACTATAGTGTCCCTTTAAGCTAATGTTGTTTTGGTGCAAATATTGTCCCTTTAAACCATAAGTGATGCTGACTTGGCTTAGCAAGGAAGTACTGTTGTATCCTGCTTAAACAGTACATTATATGGTTGTAGCAGATACTTTATCGTGACTATGGGATCTGTCCAATCTAATCCATCCCAGAAAAATTTCTATAGTGGGAATGTTAAACCCATGCCCCTGCTTCCTACACACATGCTGTCATGAGATAATTACCTTGTCAGCATTGACCATGGTTTGAATTCCAGCTGTGTTCATTAAGCAGCCATTTAAAATACATTTTTAATTTTATTTGCTTCCTTGATATTTCTTCCTGCGGTTTTCACTTTCACTTTCTAAAATGCAAAGCTTCTTCAGATATGGCCTGTCTCCTAATGTAGTGTTTGAAATATTATTTCAGTGTGCTATTTCATATAAAATATATGTTATATTTTTGCATTATTGACCTTTAAAGTGCATCATGGCTAACAAGACCTGGAGTAACTTTAAAGAGCATTTAGTTTCACATATATATTGCACTAGCCACTTTTCCAGGAAAGTTACAGATGAGAAGTTATCTTAGTAGTTTTTATTATCTTGCTCTTGAATGGCCTTTAAAGCTAGAAGTAAAGACTGCATGTAAGAGTGTTAGCCCCCACATGACATTATTGAATCCCACAATTCCAAGTACAGACCTGGGAATTATAAGACATGGTTTAAATCAGGGTCTCCAAAAGGTAGATCCCGAGATGTTTTAGATCTACCACACCAATGATGCTTTGCATGCTTTTAGAATGCCAATGCATCATGGAAACCAGGGGCGGGCTGGGACGGGGGCAGGGGGGCAATTGCCCCCATGGTGCACAAAGTCCAGGGCCGTCCGCATCCAGCAAAAAAAGGAAAAATCTGAATGCCCTGCCTCTGGCCGGGGTCTCGGATTTTTCAACTTACCCCTCGCCCTGCAACTAATGTGTGGCGTATACTGCGCCTTAAAATTCATACATACAAAGACCTTCAGGGAAATGTAGTAAACCTCAGGGAAAAAAAGAAGACAAAGAATAGTGCAATACAATATGATACAATTAAAATGATATAAGTAGTCGCTATAAGAAAACCACTCACATATATTAGAGCTAATTAGAGCTCTGCTGTATAGCGCATGCATGGTACAATCCCCGTCTAAGGATGTATGGTGGTTGAAGTGTTGATGGTCCTCCAGATGCCAATGGTATATATAGGAGGTAGAAGAACAAAAGAAACTCCAATGGTGCAGTAAGTACTAATATATAAAATAGATAAAAAGAAGAAATGTACTTACATTCTTTAGAGCAAGACTTGCTCTAGTTAAAACAGCATGGGTGGTATAATCCCCACCTAAGGATGTAGATGGTGTCAAGAATCAAGCCAAAAATAAATAGTACTATAAAAAAGTAACTATTTATTAAAAAGGGTATATTAACAATAAAGTAAATACAAAATAAAAGAATAAGTCCCACTTGACACGTTTCGCCCGTCCAAAGGGCTTTTTCAAAACTGTCTCTCCTTGCAGCCTGCGGAGTCAGCAGGCCTCTCCTGATGATGTCAGGAGGAGGGGGCGTGACTTTCACTGCTCTTCTCCCAGGACCGCTGGGGAGTCTGGGAGAAGAGCAGAAGAAGTCACGCCCCCTCCTCCTGACATCATCCTTCCTGTAAGACTCAGGGAGGGGGGAATACACTTTAGTTTTTTTTTTTTTTATCCCCCTCTTCAACCCCTGTCTGTCACGCATTCATCCGCACATAAAAATGTGGTTAATGGCATTTACTGTCCTAATCTTGATTTCCTGGTATTTGACTTTGGCTTTGTTTTGACTTCCCTGATATCTGCTATCCTTGACTTTTGGCTTTCCCTCATCTTTGTGTCTGATTCTGTATCCCTGACTTCGGCAATTATTTTGACTATACTTGGAGACGTTAAGTCCGGCCATTCTAAGGTCCGGTTATACGTTATCCTTAGTCCTAGGTGTGACACAGTACTGCATGCTGGATCAACTTGTAATCCTGACACTGTCCCCTTACTCAGCCCTTTCCTCAGCCCCTGTCCCCCTTTCCCTGTCCCTTTCGTCAGCCCCTGTTCCCTTCATCATCCCCTGTCCCCAGTTTGTCTGTGTGTGTCAGTATATGTGTCTGCGTGAGTATGTATGCCTGTAACAGAGTGTGTGTGTGCCTGTCAGTGAGTGTGTGTTTGTTAGTGTGTGTGTCAAATCAGCATGTGTTTGTGTCATTGAGTATGTCTGTTTAGGTGACTGTCCCCCCTTTCAATCACATGGGAAATGTGTTTTTACTCTCCTCTTGGTGCAATGGGCCATTTGACTGGATTTGCCCCCAGGCCTAAATTTGCCAGCCCTCCCCTGAGGGAAACTGTTTTAAAACATTTTACAATTTAGAATACAAACAATTTAAACAATTTAGAATACGAACAATGTATCTTATTTACACAGACTGATTTCCAAACTCATTTATTGTAGCTTAAAGACATATTACTGTGAATAATATTGTTATGGAGCTATGGTATACACTGAAACACTAGTAATCAAACAATTAGCAAAATAAAAGTAGTCTTTATTTCATAAAATAATGAAACACATTTTACATGTATAATTCTAAATCACTGTATCATCAATAATTCACGCAAAGACAAACAAAGATAGTTCATCCATTTTCCCCACCCAAAAAGGGTGAAGAATTCCAGAAACAAATAAATAAAATGCAAAAACAAAAACCAATCATGCAGACAGTCTGTACATGTTTGAAATACTTTTTTTCAGGAGAATAAAAAGCCCTTTTTACGACTGAAACATACAAAGAATATTGAATTCCTAGGAAAGAGGGACAAGTGGACATTGGGCCTAAAATAGGAATTGTCCCTCCTAAACAGGGTCATGCATTATATCTATATTATTCACTAAACACTGATATTTAGCGAATGAAATGCAAATTGCAAAGCTGAGGCTAAAAGTTGAGATAGAGACTGTTTCCCGATCAGTAATTTCTGCATATAGTTTGCCATTCAAGTTTAATATGGAGTTAAGTAAATAACCCTGACACTATTTGGATGACACTTAAAAGCTTAGAAATGTTTATCCATGTTAAATGCCTATTTCACAAACTAATGACTTATTATCACTGCAAATTGATATTAACAGCCTGTAAATTGTCCTGCCTTAAACACACATGGGTTTATTCAAGAATCTAACTCAATTTTAAAATCTAGGGAAAAGTAATTTTTGGAAAAAATTTTTAACTCCACTACAATCGCAGTATAATTAATTTGGATTTGATTTAGAAAAAAACGTTCAGGAAATAGCATTCTTTGAATTTAAAGACATATATAGTTGTAATCAAAATTATTCTACCCCCATTCAAAATCAGGTTTATTGACAACATTTTGTCATAACACAGTGAATTTGGGTTTCCCAAGTTTTAAAATTATTCAGCCCCTTCATGACAAGCATCATTAGTACTTCGTAGAGCACTATTTTGCTGTTGTGACCTGTCTGCAAACGAGATGCATAACCAGACACCAGCTTCTGGCAGTGTTCCTGAGGAATGTTAGCCTATTGTGCAAAGGCCCCCAGTGCAGTAATACTCTTGGGTTTGCA